GAGAGAGAGGGTGGGAGGGAGGGAGGGAAAGAGTGAGAGAATATATTGAAGAAAAAGAAAGACCCGCGAAAGACTTCGATCGCTTCCGAACTGAAGCTTCCCAATCTATCTCTTTAGTCATGAAAAATAAAACAAGAAATTGTGTGTATGACCTTTTGTAGGATGAAGAAAAAAAAGACAGCAGAAAATTCGAGAAAATTGATGAATTACCTAGCGAATTCGAGTGTTGCTTTTGTACCACGAAGGTATTTAATGTTCACGATCACTAATGTTCTTCTTCAGGCGGCATTACATACACCAATGGGCTGTCGAGCGAATTCGTAATATCGAGAGACTATTAATTGGCTACGAACTAGAATTTAATTTAATTACTGTTTTTTTTCTGCGTGAACGCAATATACAGTCAAATTTCCTTATTCTTTAATCATCGGAATTAAATAATCTCTCTTTTCTTAACTCTTCTCTACAATCCCTACTGTTATTCCAATCGTATCTGCGTAGAATAAAAGTGTGCCTTGCGCCTGCTCAACTGTACATATGTAATTGTATCTTTTGTCTTTCATTCGCTTTCTCATTCTACATATGTCTTATGATTATGCGCTTATGAGGAAAAGGAAGAACAATGTAAGAGAAATTGTTAAGGAAACAAAAAATAAAAATATTAAGAATAGGATGTATTAAAAAAAGGAAAGTTTAACTGTATATATGTACGCATATTTTCTCTCGCTCTACATATCTCGTCCAGCCTTCAAAGGCGGCGTATGATCTTTTTTTACTTTCTTCCGCTTCTCGAGAGATGGAAATATTTTACACAATTCACAAGTATGCCTACCGATATTGCACATTCTTTATATAGTCCACTGGGTGTATGCACTGCCTTCCCTGCCACTTCTCAATGGAGCACAATTCTTGCGTTGACACGACACACATTGTTTATTCAAAAAAACTCTTAACGCAACCGTAGATACTTTTCTTTCGGACATTTATCATTTTTGTGCTTAACACGATTTTCTAAGTTGAGTTGAGGCAACGTGCTATTGATGCAGTCACGTCACGCGCCGATATGTGCAATGCCTTCAGCACCACTGTTTACCCTGATACCTCTTTCTTTCAATTAGATAGATAAATATATTTCTATGATAGAATCGATAAAACACACATACAAACACGCACCTACGTACGCACGTTCATATACGCACATATACGTGTACATATGTGTACTGTACACGGTATGACGTAAAGATACAATTTCCTACATTTCAGTTTAAAGTTAACGAGTTGTCAATACGTGAGAGAAAGTCGCTACGCCGAAACGAGCCGCATTTCCTTCACTTTACTTTAATTTTACTTTATTTTAGTGATTAAAACGCTTTTATTTTTTCATTTTCAGTTGCTCTACAATATATTCAAAGTCCGTTAAAATCGGAAGGGCGGACACTTGCGTTAGATTCCTCTGCTTAGACCAAGCATTCATTTCGGAACGTAAGGTTGACAAGTGGTGTAAAAACAACGATCCTTATATAATATCTTGCTTTCTTTTCAATTAATCATGAATGATAGCATATGATAGCTATATGATAGCACGTACAACGAACAAGATCGAAGGGGTATCAAGGTAAACTTATTTTTTTTCTTCTTATCCACACAGAAACACATACGCGTACGCACGTGTACACACTGCATTGTATAATGAACGCGCGTATTTACATACAAGAGTAGTTTTAAAAATAAACTTGAAAAGAATAATTAAAATTTTATTTTAATTTTTTTCGCATACACATACAAAAAACATAGTATTTACTTATTTTTCCATATAATTAATCTTTAAGCAATTGTCTCAGTATCACACTGGCTTTAAATTATTTGCTACATAGAAATTTTCATCCATGTTGTTCAGCCAACTTATGGTTCCACTTTTTTATTTCTGTATTAAATACAAATTACTTTCTTGATTTGTTTACTTTCCAAACAAATAGGAAGCGAAAATAAACGCATGAACTAATTGAACAATATGGATGCATTTTTTATGCAACGAACATTTAAACTAAATGTCACGTAGGAACAAATGCTGTTTGGTAATTATGAAAAAATAAGCAACAAATAAGCTTGTGGTTTTAGTGTATACGAAAAAATTTTAATAAAAATTTAATTTTTTTCGAATATATATATCTTACTTTGGAAACTACTCTTGTGTACTACCTTTTACCAACAATTTAAAGCATGTTTATATTAAAGTGAATAACTAGCAGCACGAAAGATATATCAAAAGCAACTTTATAGATTGCATATCTATCCTGTATTCGGTAAGTAAGCTCTGGCAACAAAAGAGCACTTTGAGAAACAAAACCTTAATACGCGGCAAAATTTTTTCTTTAAGTAGATATAGACAACTACGTCACACAGAGAGATCGGGTGCACATTCCTAGTGCGTGGACACAACCAGGCAAGTATAGTATAGAGTATAGTAAGATATAGTAAGATATAGAAACTAGATATTAGAAACTCTTTTGTTTAGAGAGAGAGAGAGAGAGAGAGAGAGAGAG